CCACCAATTGGTAAGCACAAACTTAACACATGTTATATATTCCCAAACTTTAGCCTCCTTGTGAAAGCGAGCCAAACCAATCTTCAAGAAAATGGGAAAAGATTATCCCACTAATTGTAATGCTAATATATAGCCAGGCGAGCCAAACCACTCTTCAAAGAAAAAGATTATCCCAGTAATTGTAATGCCAATAGATAGAATTACATGTCAGTAGAAAAAATTAAATATCTAAAATTAAATTATAGACCCATCTAAGAAGCGAAATTATGCACCCATCAAAAGAAAAAAAATGTTCAGTTTCTAAGCAATCATGTAGTAGTTTACAATTCAGAAGACTAACCATGCAATCAAAGTAGAAGAGAGAGAGAGCAAAAGAGTTTTCTCGGATTTTGTAACTCACTCCAAGCCATCCAATTTAACATCTAATGAATGAGAATGATTGTGACTTCCATAAACAAAAAATAAATGGTCTCTTTGTAGATAATCCCTGTGCTTAAAGATGGAGTTCAAATCTTTTCATGCTCAAAAAGGCTAAACTGTAATAAACTCTTACCTCAACCCAATTACACTCAACTTATGTTCCATGTTTAGACTTCCCTCAATTAGAATAAATACTCTTGAAAAGCTTTAAAGGGACTTCCTTATGGGAAATCTAGCCCAAGATACCCAATTCTAGTCAAAGGACTCAATTTGCAGACCAAAGAGTGAAGTTGGTATAAGTATCAAAAGAATCAAGGAGTTCAACTTGAACTTACTATCCAAATTAAATGAGAATTGGCAACTGGGGAAGAAGTTGATACTTATCTTGAATTCTTTAATCCGTAATTTAAAAGGATCTTTAAGTTAGAATTCCTATTTATTTGGATAGAGCCTATTATTGGGATCTAAGTTGATGGATAAGTCCTACTTAGATTAGGATAGAGCCTTATGTCCACATGGATAGGGAGAAAGTTGATATTGGTTTGACGTACTTGTTTTTGGAGCTTTATTCTCTATATATAAAGATGATTTTCTAGAGAGAGAAAGCATGTGTGGAAAAGTAGGCCATACATAGGTGCACTTTTGGGTTCGTCCTCTCTTGTAGAGAGAGAAAGTACATACAAAAAAATAGAAGTAAACTTTTAGGGGTTTTATAGAGAGAGAAAATTATAGAGAATAAGGTTTTGTGGGAGATTGAGTCTCCGGTTCTCCTTGTAATTTTATTTCTTTGATTTAGTGATCATTGATTTAGTGAAAGAAATTGATCGTCTTCGCCCGTAGATGTAGTCACAAATGTGACGAACCACGTAAATCCTGGTGTTTTTTTTTTTTTGTTATTTATTTTCTGCTTTATTTTTGTTGTTTGTTGCTTGTTTTTTGTCGATTCTTTTTCTTGTATTTTATTTACCAAAAATCAACCTATCAGGTTTAGAGCTTAATAATTAAAAAAAAGTAACTTTGGAGATACCACATTTAGAGCAACAAGGAGATACTATGGGGTTGGAAAGGAATAAATAACACTTCTCAATCATCAAAAAAACTAGTTTGAAATGAAGATGTAGAATAAATCACTTGAATGGCTTCTCAAAATGGAGGCTTATCTCTCAAGAATTCACGTCAAGTGATTAGATAACATGGAAGTAGAAATAATATTGTAAGGGACATTAGGAAAAGGCCATCCCAGTTCTCTTCATAGGCATACCAAAATATGCTACTCACTAATGATATAATCCATCAATGGGGAACTCCAAGTGGACAACATCTGCTACTTGTGCAAAGCTAAAAGAGGGAGGCATGACCATCTCTTTGCATCACTTGATATTTTGCCCATCACATATGCCAAATAGTATTTTGGGGATTTTTTTCTTTCTTTTTTTTTAGATAATTCAGTCGGGAAGACAGGCCCTATCCTGTTTTTTCAAATAAATTATGGAGTTAGCCTTTTTGAAATTATTAATAGGTGGTATTAGCACGGTTAGAAACCACAATGTGGCAACTAGGTATGGGGGTGCTACCACCACGACGCAGCCCCTTTCCTAGTTTTGAAGATTTGATAACTCATGATAGCCACTAAAATATTGAAAACCTCATAATAACTTGCTCAAAAAGTAATTTCCAAACAAGTTCCCTTATAAAGTTGGAAGGTCTCTCTTCTTACCATAATCGGATAACTTGGCAAGAGAGAAATAAGAAGGTAAAAGAGAGCCACCATTCAAGTATTGATGAGATAAATAACTTGAAATTTTGAAATTCCGCCATGCTTACCTACATACCGATAATAAAAATCTTATCTGAAAGAGTTGGGAGTTGTCCGCCTCAGACTGAGAACTTTGAGTGAGTAGCAATTCGAGTACTATATTGATGATACATGAATATTGAGAGCTCTTGAAAGTATTATAGTGATGATATATGTATATTGCGAGCTCTTGATAAGTATTTTCATTTCAACCCTTTTTTTGGGTAAGTAAAAAAAAGTGGTATGTCGGTGGGGATTTAGGCCTTTAAGGGTAAGTTAAGAATTTTTGGGCCCCTACCCTTTATAGAGAATGAAGTCAGAGACTTCATCATAAAGCTCATTGATACTACCGCCAAGGCTCCAGCCCATTCTCTTCCATTTTAGCCGTTATTACATACACTTCATACTTATTCAAGACAATGGACCGGTAGAAACACCAGTTTTTACTGGTTTTGCCTTGGTTTACCACAACAACTTCTTCCTAAGCCATTTTCACCAAATGCTAATACTTCCTTTTGCACACTAATCTGTCACTAGTTTTGCTTGTAAGCAAAATCCGATATCCAAATGTGAAAACTTTCGCTGAACTTTTAAAAAAAGTTCTCAATTTGCTATATTGCAATTTTTGTTGTTTTATAGGGAGTTATATAAATCTAACAGACTCACTTTCTCTCTCCCCCACCCTCAAAAACAAGTCCATGTGATCCTAAGAACACTTGTCCAAACCCAAGGCCTATCGCCCCTACAAATTGAACGACTCACCATTGAGCCAAAGCCATGGTAGCGAGATTGATGTAGGATCTACAATCTTAATACTTTAATTGCAATGTCTTTCCCATTAGTCACCTAGAAAGTCGTGGGAGGCAAGGCACACAGGGGGATAGG